GCAGTGACCAGCCTTGTAATCTCTTTGGGACCTCAATTGCCCCAACACCCAAGTGGGGAGGGTGATAAAAATATGAACCCACTCCCCCAGAGGTCTGGCTAAAGGACCACGATGGGGTCCAGGTGAGGCAGGACCCTGTCTACTTTGCTTGCTGCCCAGCTTAGAGCAGATGTCAATCAAACGTGTTGAGTGAATAAGCGGGAAGTGATGGGGGAAAAGACTAGGTTTAGGGTCCTCTCCAAAGGCTCTGGCAATGCAGACAGACCAGCTTCTGGAAGAACAGAGAGACCAATAGGCTTACTAGCCACCATCTTTTTATTTACAGCTTGGGAGAACACATGCAATGTGACATCATGGCACTACAAGGGCATAGCACCCCCTCCCCTGTGCCATGGCCTCCCCAGAAAATCCCCTATGGCTGAAGGCCCCAGGCCAGTACTCCACTTGGTTTTCCCCGAACATAAAGACCAAAGCCAGTCCAGGTGCCAGAGCCTCAGAGCCTGCAAATTTACCATTGTTGGTAAAAAGCCAACCTGAATGCAAACGTCCCCAACTGTCCAGTATTTCAGTTTTCCCATCTGTATACCTTTATCAGACCCTTTATCTCAAGTTTTTTTATGCACAAGAAGGATCTGGAGAACTTATTAGGAGTCACCATCTAGGTCTACCTCCAAGATTTGGGGGTCAGTAGTGTGGGATGGGGCCCAAGGTTGGACACTCCTACCAGGCTCCCTGGTGATGCTACAGATCCTAGATTGAGGACTGGGCAACATTTTGTAGCCAGAAGTGGCCCAGACATGGACCTTGTGTTGCATCACCTGTTCTGCCCTATAGAGTTCCAAAGATCCACTCCCTGCAGCATAAACCGCTGGTTCTGCAGACTGCCACCCCTGCCCACCTCTCCCAGGCATGCCTTCAAATATGAAGGTCACCAGGAAGGGCCAGTGCCCAATCCTTCCCCTGGGCCCTGTTCACCTGTCCCCCAAAGTGCATTCACATTCTGGAACCTATTACTGCAAAGACACTCTCTCTTCTAGCTCTGCTTCAGCCTCTGGAATCTGCACCTGCTGCTTAGGGCAGAGCCCAGGAGTCCTCACACCTCTGACCACAGAACCCCAGTCCTCTTTCCTAATGGAGCATCTCACAGCCCAGTGTTCTGTGAAACACACTTTAAAGCCTGCAAGATGGCAGGAAGTATCTTTGAGTATGTGATGGATCATTGTGGAAGAACAGAAGACCTGCTAAAGGTCTCCTAGAATACTCAGTCAGCTAACCTTGGGGGTGTACTATTGTGCCAAACACCTTATAAGAATCATGCATTCAGCCAGGCACCCGTGGCTCACACCTGTAACCCTAGCTACTTGGGAGGCTGAAATTTGGAGGATCAAAGTTCTAGACCAGCCTGGGCAAATACTTTGCGAGATCTTATCTCCAAAATAACCAGAGCAAAATGAAAAAGTATGGCTCAAGCAATAGAGCACTGCTTTACAAGTGTGAAAGCACTGAGTTCGAACCCCAGTCCCACCAAAAAAAAAAAAAGCATGCATTTGGTCTTTACAACGTCCCTAAGAAGGAAGAGTTATTATTCCCATTTAACAGATGAAAAAGTCAAGGCACAGAGCTCATACATAACCTTCCTAAGGTCAGCAAGGTGGAACAGGTCATTTCATCACCAACTATATTGCTACGTGCAGGAGGACAGAACTGAGGCCCTCAGCCCTGGCTACCAGGGAAGCTTTAAAAAATATGAAGCCCAAAGCTCACTAAAGCTGAAATAATGAGCTTTAAAAAAATATGGAGCCTAAACCACAACCCAGACCAATTAAGGTGTAGCTCCGTGGTAGACCACTTGCCTAGCATGTGCAAGGCCCTGGTTTGATCCCCAGCACTGTAAAAAGAAAAACAAATATGTATTAGCCAAGCCTGGTGGTTCTCACCTGTAATCCTAACTATCTGGGAGGTGGAGATCAGGAGGATGAAGGTTCAAGGCCAGCTAGGGCAAAACATTTGAGAAACCCTATTTCAACTAATAAAAAGCTGGGTATGGTGGTGAGCCTGTCATTCCAGCTACAGGGAAAGTACAAATAAGAGGATCCTAGTCCAGGATGGCTCAGGTATAAATGCAAGATCCTATTGAAAGACAAATAAAGCGAAAAAGAGTTGGGAACATGGCTCAAGTGGTAGAGTGTGTGCCTAGCAAGTGCAAGGCCCTGAGTTTGAATCCCAGAATCTGTATTAAACTAGAATTTTTGTACATGAGCTCCAGACATTTAAAAATTGCCCAGATTGTCCCAATGTTTGACCAAGGCCCAGAACTCACAGACTATAGCAGGGGTTGGCAAACTGGCCCACAGGCCTAATCTGAACCATTATCTGTTTTTCTGTATTCTGCAAGCTTACATTTTAAAATGGTTCTAGAAAATCAAAAGAGAGCCGGGTACTGGTGGCTCACGCCTGTAATCCTAGCTACTCAGGAGGCAGAGATCAGGAGGATGACAGTTTGAAGTCAGCTCCGGCAAGAAAAGTGCTGGTGGAGTGGCTCAAGTTGTAGGCCCAGTTCAAACCAAAAAAAAAAGACAAAAAGAAAATTAAAACAGGAACAATATTTTGCAACATGGGAAAGTTATATGAAATTCAAATCTGTGCTCATAAGCAGTTTTTTTCTTCTTTTTTTTTTTGGTGGTGATAGTACTGGGGTTTAAACTCAGGGCTTCACACTTGTGAGGCAGTCGTTCTACTGCTTGAGCCACATCTCCAGCCTGTGCCCATAGTTTTATTGGCACACAGCCATGCCAATTCATTGCTACTTTGTCCACAGCCACTTCAAGGTATGCAAAGTTGAGGTGCTTGTGACAGAGGTTGTGCGGTCTGCAAAGTCTAACATATTTATTTGAACTTTCACAGTAAAGGTTTACTGAACCCTGAAGTAGAAGAGGTTGGTTTCTGTACTAGCAAAAGAAGTTTGAGATAGATCTAAGGAGGAATTTCCTGGTGGAGGAGAGGTGGATGAAACACTTGAAGGGGGGTTGGGATCCTTATCTTGGGAGTGAAGAGGTCTCTACCCCCTTACACACACTCTGTCCCCTGCAAATGCAAAATGGGGAGCTACGGCAGAGATGGGCCTGGAATTTCCAGGCACAACCTCCTCTGGTGGCAGTGACAGTTCTGTATGCCTTTCAGCTTTGTCTTGACCCTCTGTTGTCCCTCTGTTGCTGATGTCCTGGGGCCATCTTAATGGTGGTCCCCAGCCACAGCAATGCTGGGTTCGCTGCCTGCAGCCACCCCTTAGGGTTCTACCCCCACAGAGCTTGCACAGAGGCTCAGTGTGAGACACACACAGCATGGGCTGGTCTGCTCTCAGACACAAAACCCACTGTCAGATCTGCCTTGAGAGCAGAGTGACTAGCTTTGATCCCTTTCAGTTCTCTGCCCGCCCCTCCCCCAGACTCCCATGCCTATCAAACTTGAATAGGGAGGGAAGCACACGCATATTTGATTCCTTCTAGATCGGCCTGCTTTCCTTGCTGCCTGACCCTGACCCTGAGTGATCTCACCACAGCAGTAAACAGCCTTGGCATTACATGGACATGGTCCAGGCTGGCGAGGAAGGTGGATTTGCAGCCCTGTTCATCCTAGGCCAGCCAGCTGAACAGGAGAGAGATGCCAGGTGTGTTTGTGTGTGGTTGGGGGGGAGATTTAAGTGGCTGTCCCAAGGTGGCCTATAGAGCTGGATCTGCTGGGACAGACGTTCCAGGAGGGCATCATGGGTCTAGCCTGGATGCCCCCCCACTTTCCAGAGGGCTGTGCTACAGTAGTGTGGGGTGGGGTCCAGGGATGGTCTCAAGGGGTTCTGGGAATGAGTACATGGGATGCAAAGCGGGTGTCCCTGGGTGACGTGTGTACACACTCGCTCATATATCAGACCACTGGGGTAAGTTCTCAGGACAACTTGGAAGTGCGTGTCCCATGGCTGGATGAGCAGGGCCACAGGAATATAAAAAACATGTGCTGGTGGCTCATGCTTCTAATCCTAGCTACATGGGAGAATGAGATCGGGAGGGCTGAGGTTCGAGGCCAGCCCTGGCAAATCGTTTGTAGGACCCCCATCTCCAAAATAACCATAGCGAAATGGACTGGAGGTGTGGCTCAAGCAGTAGAGCTCCTGCTTTGCAGGTGTACAGCACTGAGTTCAAACCCCAGTCCTGCCACACACACCCAAAAAAGAAGAAGAACATTATTGTTTTCCCCAAACACTTCATGTCTCAGAACACCAACTGCCCATGAGCAGAGACCCATCTGTCAGGATCATTCTTCACAGGCAAGCAGGTGCTTAGCGTGTGTTTCCGGGCAGGATGCTGAGGCTCGAACCCAGGACGTGCTCTGCAAGTTCTTGTTTTGTCTTTAAGATGACACATCTGTGTCCAGGGAAGGCTGAGGATGTTGAATCATTCCAGCCACAGTGCAAGGAACTACCAGGAGGCATGTGTTTTGCTGAAAGCCTTGGAGAGCCCAGAATCGGTTCTTAGCTGTTGAAGGGCAGAGCGTGAGCCCCGCCCAGGTTCAGATAGATCCCCACCCCACACCACCAAATGCATTTAGGCGTTTCAGACTCTGAATCCCAAGTGACCCTTATGCATGTCAAGGCTTGAGGAGTTAATGATTTGGGATCCTGGACAAGTCATGGAACTCAAGTGTGCTTCAGTGTCCTGCCCCGGAAAATGGCGATAGTGCCTGTTTGGAAAAGTCTTTGTGGTCATTCAGTGAGACAGCACATGCTTCGTGCCTAGCACAGTGCCTGGCGCACAGGAGCGTTCCAGATTCATCTCCTGCCTGGACCCGTCCCTTCTCTCTTCACTCTTCAAAGCCTCCTCTTGGTTTTCAACTTGAACGTGTGGCAGTGCTGCTGTCGGGCAGTAGAGGGCGCTCTGCACACGGCCACCGCGGAGAGCGCGACCCGAGCACCGTGCGGGCCGCGTGGACCCCACGGGCGCGTGCAGGTGCAGCTCGTCCACACAGCAGTCCCCATCCTGGGACCAAGTGTCCTGGGTCTGGGCCTGCGCCTGCGGCCTCCACCCTCTGTCCCCCACTTGATCTCCCGCTGCTAGTTACAAACACATTGCCCGGCTTCTCCAAACCTCCCGGGCTCAGTCCCCAGGCTTCATCCTCGAGAGCTAGACGTTGATGAAGGATCCCTGGTCGCCGTTGGCCGTCTCCGGCTCCACGCAGCGCCCCTTCCTCCGCGTGACCCTGCGGTTCCGGTGGAATTTGGCGTAGCAGCGCAGCCCTGAACGGAGGGAGGCACGGGGTCAGGCTGTGACAGGCCAGTCCCCTCCCCTGCCTTCCCTCCACCCAGCACCAGCTTCTCACCCTCCTTTATTCTGCCCTACAACTGAATGAGTTTTAAAAAGACACTGGTGGGGGTGGGGGGAGGGGCGTGGAGCACAGCGGATGTTTAGTACAATGATGATGTCTCATGGATTTGCAGGATGGATAGAATTACAAAGCCTCCTGAGTCCTCAAACTGGACTTCAGTTAGTAATGCACCAATATGGACTCACCTAGTGGAAAAAAGGATCACACTAACGCAAGGTATTAACAACAGAGATATTGCAGGGAGGGGGAGGGGTATATGAGAACGACATTCTGTGTTTTTCTAGAAGCCTGTAATTGCTCTAAAAATAAAGCCTAAAGTTTTCAAATTGGGAAGAAGAAATATTCATTAATTGTGTATGTGTGTGAGCTAGGAATTGAACCCAGGGCTTGTGCATGCTAAGTGCACGCTCTAGTTAGCTTCAACCCCCAGTACTGGGGTTTGAACTCAGGGCTTCATGCTCGCTAGGCATTTGAGTCACAGGCCCCAGCCCCTCCCCTTTCCCATTTTTTAAGTGACTCTGATTCTACTCTTCCCTACATAACCTCCCATGGCTCCCTATTATACTTAAAATGAAATTTAGACTTCCTACCTTTGCTTATAAGGCACTTCAGGACCTGGATCCAACCACCTGTCTGGTGTCTTTTACCTCCCATATGCCTCACTGTCTAACCCCAGCTTTTCCTCATATCCCATCATTTCTGCTTCAGGACCTTTGCACTTGCTGTTATTAGCCAGAAATCCCTTCCTCAAGCTCTTTGCGTAGTTGGCTCCTTCCTAGCCTTTAAATCTCAAGAAGATTCTCCTTGAGCACTCTGACCTACCAGCAGGAGGGTTTTGTGGTTGTGGCTCTCTCTATGGTGGCTATAGTCAACCCCTAAGACTTGTGGGTAGACATGATTTTCATCTAAGGACACAGAAAGTCACATCCTCCTAATGGTAGGGAAAAGAGATGTCAGTGTGGCTTAAAGAGAGCCTTACCTTCCAGGTCAGGAGTGATGGCAGGATGAGAGGACCTCAAGGGCAAAAGGGCTGCTGGGAAGTTTGTGCTTAGAGGAGCTTGTGATACAGGGGCCACTGGGTTCAGACCCTGGCCACATGGTGACATGTGGGAGTGACAGGGATTCGTGGACCCTAGGGTTTGGTGACCTTAGAGCCCTTAGGAACCTTCTAGAACGCAGCCTGGTCTTGACTGCTGGATTTTAGTCCTGGGCTCTCTGTTGGACATCTCGGGCTTACTCAGGAGTCCTGAGGACTCCTGGTCCCCCTAAGAGTTCCTGGTATTTCCTGGTGACATCTTTAATGAGATGATCAAGCTGTCATTTCCGCTCTTCATTTTTTCTGGAGCTTGAATCTCTGGGAGGAGCAAGAACTTTGGTGGGACAGGAATAAGAGGAAGCAGGGAGACGGCAGGTGGGTCCTGGATGCAGATGCATCTTTCAGATGGCTGCAGAGCAGTGAGCCCCCTGCCACCTGAGGCTCGGGAGAGAGGAAGGAAAGGAGGAAGGGAGGGTTCCACTTGTAGAGGTGCCTGTGACCCCTCACCACAACTGGGCTGGACCAGAACCCAAGAACTGTGACCCCTGCACTTAAGGGTCCTCCTGGGCAGGAGGACCTCTGCACTACAGCCCGCTCCTCTAGGAAATGGGCCCAAGCCCTGAATGCAAAGGCAGTTTCCCAGCATCCCCAACCCACCATCTCCATCCTCTTTCGTATCCCAGCCTGTCTTCCCTGTGTCCTCACCTGTCCCCAGTCCTGCACCCAGAGTGAACTTTTAAAGGCAGAAGTCGGACCTTTTACTCCCTGATTGATTGATTGATTTCTTGCAGTATTGGGGATTGAACTCAGGGTCTTGTGAATCCTAGGCAAGCACTCCACCCCTGAGCCACATCCCCATATTCCTCTCCCCCTTTTACAGCCGGTGCATGACTTCTAAGCACACACAAAACACAATCCAAACAAGGCCAACAAGGTCCTGTATGACCCTTCTGAAGCTTTTCCCACTTTTCTTGTACCACCTTCCCTGTGGGTCAGTCTGTGCCATGCCAGACTTGTTCCTCCGTGAGGACCTTGCCCTCACACTCTGCCTCCTGTCTGGAACTGTCCCCACAGCCCCATCTCTAGGTAGCTGCCCTCAGTGTCCACTTGTGTCCATCTTTTCTAAGGACTCTTGTCACCTCCCAGAGCCTTCTCATCTATGCATTTGCTTCTTGTCTGCTCCTTCACTGTAATATAATCCAGGGACACAGAATCTGCTGGCTCTTTTCACCACCAGGTCCCCAGTATCCAGTCCCCATTGGTACCTGACACCTAGCAAGCCCTCAATCAATACTTCCTAACTGACTAGATGAACGAATAATCAGAACTAAATAGCTTTATTGCTTCCACGGCAGGTCATTTCGAGCATAATATGAGCAAAACAGGGCAAGAATCTTGGGTTCACGGAGCAGCTGAGCCCGGATTCTCCCAACAAGGAAAGGAGATGGGAACGCAGACTGGATATCGGGTGGTGCTGGTGATTATTGCTCAAGGTTGGCATTTTGTTTTTGAAAGCGAACTTATCTTTTAGAGGTGCGTGCTCAAGTCATCCTGGAGGCAGTATCTTTAACTCTTAGGAGTTGCTACGAAATCATATTGGAATGAGGGAAGGTTGGGAGGGGGCTGTGGTACAGCTTGGCCTCACATCAGTCATTACTGAAGCTGGTGAAGGAAATGGGGTTTGTTATTCTATGCTGACTACTTTAGGATATGTTGGGAATTTTTCAAAATATAAAATAGACTTCTCTCTCTTTCTCAGTACTAGGGATTGAACCCAGGGCCTCAAGAATGCTAGGCAAGTTCTCTACTGTTAACTGTGGCCCTATTTAATTAAATTTAGTTAATTAATCTATTTTTTGACAGTACTGGGGTTTGAACCCAGGGCTTTGCACTTGGTAGGCCAGTGCTCTACCCCTTGAACCATACCACCAGCTCTTTTTTATTTTGAGACAGGGTCTTGCTAAGTTGCCCAGTCTGGCCTCAAACTCCATGTGTAGCCCAGGCTGGCTTCTGCCTCAGTCTTCAAAGTATGTGGAATTACTGGCATGCACCACCATACCTGTCCTTCCTTCTTTCCTTCCTTCCTTCCTCTCTTCTTTCCTCCCTCCCTCCTTCTGTCTTTCCTTCCCTCTGCGGTACTGGGGATGGAGCCCAGGAAAGTGCTCTAGCCCTGAGCTGGCACCCCAGTTCCTCTCCTACTCTTCTATTTGTGTAAGTTGGTTAAATGGGGATTATAATAGCTCCCTTCTGGGGGTGGCTGCAAGGACTTCAGGAGAGAAGGGCTTACACAGAGCCTGGCACCTCGAGGCACATGTATGCAGAAGGGCATGTGGCCCAAGGCATCCAACTTGCTGAGAAACCCACCCGGCCCCTGTTATCACACTTGGAATGCCTCCCGGGATAGAATTCTGGTGTGAAAGTGCCAGCCTTCTCAGGTTGAATCTTATTTAAACAGATACACTCCTGTCTCCTCCCTTCTCTTTCCTCCTGATCGTGGGAGATCACACCAGCTTGTATTTCAAGAGGCAAGAAAAGCAGATCTGAGAAACGATGCCAGGAATGGAGACAGAGTGGGATTGCAGACTGGCAAGGCACCAAGCGAAGCTGTTCTCGCTCATGCCTGAGCTCCCAGGGGACTCTCCCACAGCTCCCCCACCGCAGCCCCCTCCAGCCACACTACCAGGAAATCTCGTACCCCACCTGTGGTTCCCGAGAAGCCTGGACTCACCTTCCATGCACATGCAGTCATCCAAGCATTTGTTGTTGAGGCCGCGGTTGTGGGGTGTGCAGACGTGTTCCCGAAGGTCGCAGCAGGTTCCTGGTGACATAGCAAGCACATGTGGTCAGTCAAGCTGAGCAGCCCCTCCCCACCGCCCTGCACACGGTCCCACAGGACAGGAGATCCATCATCTCCAAGGCAGGCCATGCCCAGGCAGGGTGGGCCATCTGGTGTGCAGGGATGGCTCCCAGCCAGAACTGCCCATGGATGTCATGGCTGACATCCCTGGGGGCATGTAGCAGAGACCCCAGCTGTCCCAAATGGGCAACTGATTGATCATGGGAGGAGTGGAGGCAGTGTTGCGTCACCTCCAGAGGAAAGCGAGTGGAGCAGCTGGGGGGCACCAGGTGTGGAGTCAGCTCAGATTTGGGGGAGGGGCCTTGGGAATCATGGTCGCCAACATTCTCTTCAACAGATGGGGAAACTGAAGCCCCAGGCGGCTGCAGGATTGTCCCAGGCAGGCCAAAGTATGGCTTTGCCACCATGAGGCCAGCTCTCAGGGATAGATCTATCTATCTAGTTGGCCCAAACTCCAACCTTTCCTTTGTGCTCAAGGTACAAATGATGGTTTGAGAAGGAAACAGCTTGTCAAGGTGCTGGTGGTCTGACTTGTACAATGGCCACCTGGAATGCTGTTTTGTAAAATGTGCTGGCCACTGCTGAGGCCATGGATCTGTGCCACTCAGATCTTTTCCCAGGAAAGCAGTCATTGTTCAGTGACAAGAAGGCCTCCAGCTGTTGGCAGCTTCAGGGGCCACCATGGCCCATGTCACACTGTCCCTCAGCAGCCCCAGACAATGACCGGCATGATGGGGCTACCAGGGCCATCCCCGGTGCCTGCCACTTCTGCCCAGCAGGGGCGTCCCTGGGCAGGCTGACTTTGCTCTGCAGCTCCCATTGTGTGGTCCAAAGCTTTGCATCAGGCTGAAGGTTTCTCTGTCCTTACACCTTTTTTGGTTGATGGGTGTCACCCACTTCCTCCCCCTCCTCCAAATAAACCTCTTGCACTTCTTTTTTTTGGGAGGTGGGGCATTGAGACAGGACCTCCCTGTGTAGCCCAGACTGGCCTCAAATTTACAATCCTCCTGCCTCTGCCTCCCAAGTATTGGGATTAGAGGTGTGGCCACCTTGCCCAGCTTAAATTAAACCACTTGCACTTCTAACTCCAATTCAGGGTCTATTTCTGGAGGGCCCGTCTGACCCCACTAGGGCTGGCAGTTCAGGGCACTAGTTAAACACCAGGCCCCTTTTTCTTAGTCTGTCTCGAGAGACAGCTGCTGACAATGTGAGAATGTCATCACATGCGTTCCTAGAAAGCCCTACAGTAGCAGAATGAGGATGAGGGCAGAATTCAGCCCTGTGGTGTGTTCAGAGGGAAGAGGTTAAGAGAGGGTCACCCCGGCAGTGTAGGCCGGGGTTAAGAGGTTTGGGAACCAGGCTGACCCAGGTCTTAGCCACTTCCTAGCTGCGTGACCTTGGCCAGGACACTTAGCCTCTCTCTCTAGGGCCTAGTGGCCCTGCCTTAACACTGAGGATGACAGTAGCTCTCTCCCATTGCTGTGAGTGATGTAGTAAATGAATTAATGTATGACAGTGGTTCTCAGGAAATTGGAAGCTACTCTTGTCATTATTTACTGTCTATAAAGAATCAGAGACCCCTTAGGCCCTGCTCCCATGCCTGGGAACCCTTGCCCCACCCTGCCTGACCTGCGTTTCCTCTCTTCCTAGTTCCTGGAGTGTAGGTGCTGGGGTACCTGGCTGGCAGTCCTGATGATGGTTGCATGGTTCCCCCTCAGCAGGCGAGGTCTCATTACCATCACTGAAGAGGTGACCCTGGTGTTTCTCTGGGAATAAGAAGAGCTGTGGTCAGAAGCTGAGGCCCAGCAATCAGAGAGATTAAACACAAGGACTTCGGTGTCACAGCACTGTTACCCCCCAACTCCAGTGTAGCTCAGACAAGCACTTCCTCTCTCTGCCTCAGTTTTCTCTTCTCTAGAATGGGCCAAGAGCAGTGGATCCCATAGATTGTTCCCCAGGAGTAGACACATGGGAAGCATCTGGCATAGAATAAGCACTTAATGGTTCCAGTTTACAGTGATATGCTCCCAGTCCACTTTTGGACACCTGCAGGTAAGACTGGGCTCAGTGGTGGCTGGGAGCGTAGGCCCTGGAGTGGGGAAGGTGGGTGTACCTTTCTTCTTTGCAGAGGGCCAGACCTCGGGTTTTAAGTCTTCATAATCGGTCCAATCGAACAAGGCCATGTCCAGCGTGGGCATCACCTCCCCATCAGACCTGAGCTGCACCTGCAGAGGAAGGTGAAGGGGATGGGACCTGGGATTTTCCAATCATGGGAGCAGAAATGTGGGGCCTCAAGGCCAGAGGGCAAAGGAGAGACTCCTCCAAGGCCACCTGTCCTCTGCTGGGCCACTTTAGTCCCCACTGAGGACATCAAACAGCTGCCTGAGCTCCTGCTCTCACAGCCACCAGGGCGGGTTCCTCACTGTGCAGCTGCCACCCCAGAGGGATTGCATTTAAAGGTGGCCAATGGCAACACAGGCAGGTGCGTTATCCACCAGGTCCTCTGAGCAGGGGCAGAAGCCACACAAAGAGGAGGGGAACTGGAAGCAACCCACTGCTCACTTCTCTGTCCCTTCTTCTCCCCAGATCTCTGAGGTACTGTGGAGGCCACAAGCAGGGCTCAGTCCCACTCCCGGTCCCAGCAAGGCTTCGAGACTGCTGAGGGCCAGAAACCAAGGCCAGATCTGCACATGGTCACTGCACTCAGTAAGTCACGGGCAATAATTGTATCTGCTGGTTCTCAACCGGTGAGCTTCAGGGGCCTCCAAAAAAATGGACAAGCATATGCCCCTGGGGAACAGGCCACAGCTTCCATCAGAATCTCAGGGAGGCCAGGCACCAGTGGCTCACACCTGTAATCCTAGCTCCTCAGGAAGCAGAGATCAGGAGGACCATGGTTCTAAGCCAGCCCAGGCAAGTAGTTTGCAAGAACCTATCTTGAAAAAAACCCATCACAAAAAAGGGCTGCCAGAGTGGCTCAAGTGGTAGAGTGTTTGCCTAGGAAGTGTGAGGCCCTGAGTTCAAACCCCAGTGCTGCAAAAAAAAAAAAAAAAAAGAATCAGGAAGATCAAGTCCTAAAGAAAGGAAAATAAAGATCTACAAGTGACTCCCTTGTCCCCAGGGAGACTCTCTAAGACCGCAGTGGATGCCTGCTACTGCAGACAGTACTGGACCCCAAGGATGCACCGTGTTCTCCTACATAAACCTGCCCATGATAAAGTAGGTGATTTACTAGGTAGGTGCTCTGCCACTTCAGCCAAGTAACTTACAAACATAGTAATTCATAAATAGGCTCGGTAAGAGATGAACAGCAATAACTAATCATAAAATAGGACAACTATAGCAAGATACTGTCATACAATTACGTGAATGTGGTATCTCGAAATGTCTTCTTGGGCTGGGGCTGTGGCTCAAGTGGTAGAGCACCTGTCTAGCAAGCACAAGGCCCTGGGTTCAAACCCCAGTACCGCCAAAAAACAAAACCAAAAATCTCTTTCAGGATATCTTCTTGTACTGTACTTGTCCTTATTCTTGTGACTGTGTGAACAATACTTGAAGGAGGTTCTTTTGGTCATATCACAATTGACAGCACCACTATTCTTGTGCTTGTGTTTTGGGGTCATTATTGCAGGAAATAAGGGTTGCTTGAATGCAAGCACTGTGGTACCACTGCACTTGACCTGATAGTTCAGAGGCCACTGACTAACAGGTGGGTGCTGAACACCGTGTAGATCTGGTGGATAAACAGATAGCTCACATCCTGGGTGGGACAGAGTGGGCTGGTACAAGATTTCATCATTTAAAATCTATGGATTGTTTATTTTTGGAATTTTCAATTAATATTTTTGGATCAGAATTGATTGCAATTGCACAAAGTGAAACCACGGATAAAGGGAAGACTAGTGTACTGAGAAAAAATTCATATTTCTTTTTTATTGTTTGGTATACATGTATAAATATAAATTATTCTACATCACTGATTTATAAAATATATTGTTTTAAATGATTTTGTTTTGGAAAATCTCAAAGCCACAGAAGAGGAGCAAGAATGATTTGGTTAACTCCTGAATACCCTTCTAAGAATCACCAGTGAGTACCACATTTTCTTTTTTTTTTTTTGGTGGTAGTGGGGCTTGCACTAGGGGCCTCAGGGCCTCACTCTTGCTAGGCACTGCACCAGCCCTGTGCCACATCTTCTTGTTTGCTTTCTCCATGTGCCTCTTTCAAAAGATTGTAGAAAGCCAAAGTACCAGTTAAGTCCGGGTCCATAGAGAAGTGGCTTGTCAAATTGCTGTGACTGTCCTCTGTAGTCTTCTGGACTTTAACGTCTTTCCCAAGAGCCTTGCTGCTCTCCGGGATGTAGAGACCAGCGTTCTGATCTGATCTGGTACTTGCTTGCTTGGCTGTCCTCAGAGTGAGGCCCAGACCACTTCTTCCCAGGCAGTGGCAACCCTCCCTCGGGATGCAGTGCCCAGCAGGACTGTGCTGGTATCAGGAGGCCTGGTGGCCTCCACCAGCCCCCCTCCTGCCGTGCCTCATTCTCGCTAAGTGGACTAAGAGGGGTTTGCACAACACAGTCTCCAAGACCCTTCCAGATTCTAGGCTGTTTGGCGCCCCTTACCTGAGGCCTCAGGGAGGTGACAGGCAGGATCAGAGACTCTTCTGTGGCAGGTGCGGCGTCCAAGGTGGTTAGGAAGAGCAGGGTGGGGGCCAGGCTGGTGGAAGACTCCTCCATGGCGGCCTCCAATGTCTGGTCTTCAGAGAGCTCTACCTTCTTCATCAGGGAGCTGGGACCTCGAACCAGGGCCCGGCCTGAGACAGGGCAGCAGTGCAGATTGGTATGCTTGTCACCTGGTGTCAGCCTATAATATGGCTGCAAGCCAGGGGGTGGCAGGGACCATGTGACAAGCCCTTGGTTCGGCCAACATCCCTGCTGCCCTCTTTCCCAGGGAGCTGGAAATGGGGCCCTCAGCAGGGGAAATGTGTTGAATGAATCCCCCTGGGAACAGCTTTCCAGCAAGGCCATGCAGGAAGTATAACAAAGGGGAACTAGGAAGGTTAACCATGGAAGGCTTTCTGGAGGAGGTGAAGTTGAGTCTGTTGTGGTTTCCCTACCCTGCAAAAATAAGTCCTGAAGAGTAGACCAGTGACTTCAGAATCATTCATTTTGCAGACAAAGAAACCTAGGCCCAGTCAGCCTGAGGCTTTGCAACTACACAGATCTGGATCGGCCCACAGACTCCTCTGTCCCCTGTCTAAGCCAGGGAGCTGGAACAGTGAGGATGAGGGCCCTATTATGTCCATTCGCTCACTCTCATGGGTGTCAACACTTCCCCCTACCTGATACAGAGGACCTCCAGGATGGGAGGCTGCAAATTGAGGCTGGGACCCCATCTGGGTTCTTCCCCCTTGGGGGGTCTCAGGAGGACTGACAGAGGAGCTAGTCCAGCTGTTTGCCAAAGAGGGTGGGGGGGATGAGGCTCCACCTCCTTCTTCCCAAAGAAACACCCCCACCAGCACATCTACAGCAAGGCTGGCCCCTAGAGGCAGCCTTGTCCCATGAAGAGACAGGAGCTGAGGTGGCCTGCCTAGGCTCAGGGCCAGGTGAGGCTGTGGAGGAGCCATGTGGGTGGAGCTGCCCAGTGTTGTCCAGAGACTGAATCGGGCCAAGGGAGGGAGGGACGGGCAGCTCACCAGGGACCTACAGAGTGTGAAAGAGAAGTTAAGTAAGGTGAGAGGGCCAGGGGAGCCCCCTGAAACACACAGGGCAGACAAGGGGGCAGGGGGACAGGGATGTGACAGCTCTCCTGGGGTGCTATGACTTAGATCTTAAATGTCTCCTAGAGGTTCATGTGCCGAAGGCTGGGTCCCCAGCCTGTGGTGCTTCTGGGAGGTGATGTTACCTGTAGGAAGTGTAGCCTAGTGGAAGGAAGTAAGGTCATTGGAGGGGCGTGCTTTTGAAGAGGATACTGGGACCCCAGCCTCTTCCTGTGTCTTTGCTTTTCGGCCACCATGAGGTGAGCAGCTTCGCTCTACCACGTGTACTCCGCCATGGTGTTCTGCCTCACCACAGGCCCAAAGCAAGGGGACCAAGTGACTATGGACCAAAATCTCAGAAACCATAAGTCAAATACACCTTTGCTTCTTTAAGTTGAGTTTCTCAGGTATTTTGTCACAGCAGCAGAGAGTTGACTGCCACATGGGGTCACTGATCCAGGGTGCTGAGGATGATAGTGACAACTGGTGCTCATGGCTTCTGACACCTGTGTCTAAGCACCCTACAAATCAGGTCTCTGGATCTACACTGAGGGTAGATAGGATCATGGTCCTCATTTTGCAAAGGGGGAAACCAAGGTACAGAGAAGTAACTTGTCTGGGGTCATAAACAAGCTAGGGACTGATCTCCGTGTTTCTGGCTTCAGAGCCCACTCTGTTCCAGAGTTGATTAAAGGATGTGCTTGGAGGGTATTGAGCTATATTTCATCGCTGCCCAGGACTTAAGACTAGGGTAGATTCAGGTCAGATACAATGCAGAGCCAGGCACCAGTGGCTCATGCCTGTAATCCTAGCCACTTAGGAGGCAGAGATCAGGAGGATCACAGTTTGAAGCCAGCCCGGTCAAATAGTTTGTGAGACCCTATCTCGAAAAAACCCATCACAAAAAAGAGCTGGTGGAGTGGTTCAAGATGTAGGACCTGAGTTCAAACCCCAGTACCACAAAAAAAAAAAAAAAAAAAAAAAGACACAAGGTAAAACTTCCTGACTTAGGAGGATGGTCTGCTATCAGATTGAGCTTCTTTTGGTATGCATTCCTCTCCCCCAAAATCCCACCCGCAGGCCTCTCCCTGCTCCTCCCCTTGCCAGGTCCCTGACTTCAGTGAGACCCCTCTGCTCTTCTGGGTGCCAACTGCCTGCCCCTTTATGGGGTCTCTGGATGGCCTCAGACCATTGACATATCCTTCCTGTCTTTCCCCTCCTGTCCTTTGCCACTGGACCTGAGCCCCCACCCGTCTCTCCCAGGTCCCCAGTTACCTCGGTGCAGTTTCAGCCTGTCCCTGCGTCTCTTGTGCTCCCTGCCACGTTTCTTCACCCTCTCCCACCCTGGAGATCGGTGCTCCTTCTCAGAATAGGGTGACACCAGCCCCAGGAGCAGATCTTTGTTCTGCAGCAGGCCTGCAGGAGTCTGTCCAGGCAGCAGCCCCCCAGCCCCTGGTAGCCTGGAGGCCTGCCTGGTGGTGGTAGTAACCACAGTTCCATCCTGGGCCTGGCCAGGCATGCTCGGGCCCTGCTCCTTCTTGCCCAGGCCCCGCCGGCGGTGGTGGCTGGCTTGAGGCATCCATAGCGCAGAGCCCGGGAGGTCGATGTGATTCTCAGGTAGGTTCCGAGCAGGAGTTCCAGGTCCAAGTGAGCCCGCCAGGCTCAGCTCCAGGAGCACCAGGAGGCTGAGGAACAGCATGGGGACCTTGCACAGGGTGGACCCTGCCATTGGCTCTGCCCTGCAATGGAAGCAGCTCTTTGAGGGTGATGTACAGCCCCTCCTCTTCAGCCCCACTCCCAAATGCCCAACCCCAGTATCATAGCCTGGGTCTGGCAGAGTGGCTCAAGTGGTAGCATGCCTGCCTAGCAAGTGTGTGGCCCTAAGTTCAAACACCAGTACCACCAAAAAACCCCTAACTTATCCATTATAATAGCCTGGTTCTTCTCAACAGATGGAGGGGATTTCTTCTCCCCAGGGGACACTTGGTCACAACTGGAGACAGTCGTCAAAACTGGTGATGCTAATGGCTTCCAGAAGGCGGAGCAGTCCAGAGGTGCTGCTAAACTTCTCACAATGCACAAGACAGCTCCCCAACAAAGACTCATCTGGCTCAGAAAGATGGTGGTTCTGAGGTTGTGCATCGCAGGTTTAAATCGTTTCAAGCAGTGTCCAGGTTCTAGTCTAAGGTACAATTCCTTTCTCTACACAGTCCCCTGGAACAGAGCTGAGCCCCACAGAACTCAGAAATACGCCTCTAGTCACTGCAACTTGACTCAGAGCCTAAATACAAACAAGTGCAATAATAGCACTGGTTTACCCTCCCTGCACAGGGCTGTGTTGAGAGCTCTGTGTGGATTGGATCACTTAGTCCTCTCAATAGCTCTCTGGAACACTCCCGTTATTGTTCTCATCTTTTCTGAAGCAGCAATTAAGGCTCAGAGTGGGTAAGTCACACCTCCTAAGTGTGGTTCTTATGCCTGTGCTCTGGACCCTCCTTGGCGGTCCCAAGCAGCCCAGCTCTGCCCTTCCCTGTTCTTTTTTTCGCACCATGAGCTCTGCAGTCTCTGGAGGTTCTGACACCGTGCCTGTGGTGCCAAGGGTGGCTTTGTGGACTTGTTCTGACTCTCCAAGGGTGGAGTGAGCCCACCTTCCCTAAGCTCCCCTTCCCCAGCAGAAGCAGAGCCTCCTGGGGGCTCCGTGCCCCCCTCTGCCCTGGAGGAGGACGCCTCTAGAGGATTGCTGAGCTGAGCTGGGAGATGGTGGGGATGTCTATAGGACTCTGGGGACCGCCACACCAGCCTCACTGCCTCTACCAGGCTGCCACAGGTCAGGCAGCTGATTGAATTTTTATGGGCTCCCCGGTACTCCATTAGGCTCCCAAGGTGCTTATGCTACTGTTTCTCTGTGATTTGTGGTCATATAACTGCCCAGGGCTGAGGAAAGGTTGGTGGCCCATGATTCCCTGATTCCCGACATTTCTCTCTCTAGCCAGCTCAGCTCCTGCGGCCTCTACACCCGCCACGCCAGCTCACCTTTAGCCAACCCCAGGAAGGGGCGGGTGGGGACTGCCTTGCCCGCCCTGGGAGCCCTGTTCAGGCCTAGTCTTTCCAGGGGTGGGGAAGAAATGCCTCCTCCCAGCCTCACCCAGTACCCGGCTCCCTTCATCCTACCATGTCCTGGTGTCTGGGAAGGCCAGGACACTACTCTTCCTAGAGCCTGGGCTGAACAAGAAAGTCCCATCACTTTCCATCTTGTCCTTATCATGGGACCTGCCTAAAGATCCCAGGTGAGCCAGGCAGGACACTGAACCAGACTTGACTCCCTGTCACCTGTCCATCCATTCCTGAAACAACAGGCTGCAGTCCTCCCCAGACACTCTTGCCCCTCAGCCTCACCTTCAGCCTTCCCTAATAACAGCTGGGAAGGCAGTGTTCCCAGAATCCTGAGGTAGCCCTGTGGGGCCCATTCAAGCTTTGTTTGGCTCACAGGGACTCCTCAGCCTGGCAGAGCTGGGCTACCCTCCAGGCTGGCATTTAGCCTGACCACAGCCAGAGGAGGACCTCTGCTCTCCCTGTGACAGGGAGACAGGAAAGGCTCTGAATCTGTGTTGGATCCATCTGGGTCTAAGACCAAGGGCCATTGACAGCCTGGGAGAAACCCATTGGACAACCACAGAGATCCTTTGGGGTGTCTGCCAGTGAATAGAACCCCCTATCCTGGGGGTAGAGAAGAGAGAGGCAGGAGACCCAGGGAGTGCCAGCCAGGGCAGATGGGGCTTGGCAGAGAGGTTGGCAGACCTACAGACACATATGGACAACTTGCTGTCTCCGTGGAGGCCTGTGAGGCCAGTCAATGACTCTCAAAAGCTTGGTGACAGTCAGAGTGTGCTGGTTTTGGAGAGCCAGGAGACAAAGCCCATCCCCCCAGCTTCAACACCCCCAAACATCACAATCCCACACAGACTTGCCAACATCCCTCTCCCACCAAAGTCTCACTGCCAAGCCACTGTTCCACTCTGGCCTCATTCATTATACCCAGGGATTCCAACCTATGCATCATGTTTGCTCCCTCCTGCCCTTCACATCTCATGAATCACGCACGAGCCAGCCTGGGCAGAAGAGGGGACTTCAGTACACTGTGCCAGTCCACCCACAGGGCACTATCCCTCTCTCCAGCCCAGCCCACAGGGCTGCCAGTTCCTCGGAACCATCCATGACTACCTACTGCCTTCCCATTTATCCTCAGACACCTCACTTTGGCACTCAAGACCTTGTGCAATGTCCTCTGACTTAGCTTCATAGCCGTCACTTCCGCTTTCTCCCCTTCATAGCCAACAGAGACTGTTCCCCAGGCCCCAAGCACATCCCATCTTTCCTAGCTCTCCTCTTGCTTAGGCTACCCCTATAGAACAGCTTCTCCCCTCCACCCCCGCCTCTCTGCCAAACCTGCCCATTCTTTGGGACCCATCCAAAATGTCCCTCGCTCTAAGAGGCCTCATTCAGTCCCTCACCTCAGTGTGCTGCCCCTCATGCTCCCACGTGGCTGGGCCCAGCTCTTGAAGACCTCATGTGCCATCTTGTGCTGGGATTATTATCTTTTTCTTAAGCCCCTGACTAGACTGGTGCAGCTAGGGGGCTGGGCTCAGTCCTGCCTCTGCCCCTATCATAGCTGGGAAGCGTGGGTCTAGGGATTGATGATTACAGACCAGCACCGAAGTGGATCCCACAGAACATGTGTGTGTGTGTGTGTGCATGCACGAGCTGGTGTGTGTATATGGGAGACTGCATGGAAGCCCCCTCTTAAAGCCCATAGGATTTGTATTCAGATCTTGGCCCAACCTAGCCATCACGATGCCAGCCTGGCAGACAGCCACTCAGCAAATGTGGGCTGCTACAGAAGCTGTGCCAAGGACCCCCAGCGATGACAGGCTCCAATTCATTTCTGTCACTCTGGAAGCCATTGGGGGCTGGGTCACAAAGCAGCAGGCATCCAGGCGAAAAGTGGGAACAGGTGCTCCGCCACACACACACCCACCATCAGTGTAGGATGGCTCTGCCCTCAGCTTGCTCACAAAGCCTGTCTATGGGGCTGGGCCTGATCCTCCCCAGAAGTTCGGAAAGTCCAAAGCCAAGAGGTAGCCTGGACAAGAGTTGTTGAGAGACACGTCAGGAACATCCACAACCCAGAATCTGCCTTCTCACCACTGAGCCCCAACACAGAATCACCAAAAATAAACCAAAATGAAACAAAAGTCATCCTAACAATGGGATGATCTCCAGGCTCCTTCAAGTGCGTTTAGTCGTCTCAACTGCCTGCACGTCAGATAGTTTCCTATGTTCTTAAATGAGGAAACTGAGGCTCTGTGAGGGTAAGCTACAAGCCCAAGGTGACACAGCTGGGTTCTCTAGAACCAGCTGCCCAGGGGTATAATCCTTACCACACTGTGGGTGCTCAGAGCTTCCCAGTGTCACCTGTCTCCCTTCATTATCTCCTGCCATTGCCGTGGACAGCACCTTTGTCCTTGAGCGCAGAGAGGGCATGGAGACCAGGCATGGCAGCTGGGAGGGACACTAGAGAGGGAGAGGAAGCCTTATTTTCTGCCCCATCCTGGCTCCCTGCTGTGCGGAGAGCTGCAGGGAGCAGTGTCAGATGCAAACAAATTAGCTAATTAAGCCTAGAGCCCCTTCCCCACCAGCAGCCTTCCGCCTCCCCTCCCCCAACCTGGCCTGAAAGAAACCTGTGGATCTGGGCCACCTGGTTTCCTGTGACAGCTGGAAAGCAACACTCCTGCCTGGTTGATTGGCCCACTGGTTGCATGGTGCACTGGGGTTGGGGTGCTGGCTGAATGCTGGCTCAGGGGTTTCTGGGTGCTCTGGTGGACCCAAGGATGGTGATACTTGGTCCAGGCTGTGAATCAGACCACCCCTACTAGGAGAACTCAGGCCATCCTCTTCCCTCCCTGGTTCCTGGCTCCTCCCCACCAGTGAAAGTGATGAAATTTGAGCTGCCATATTGGGGAGAGATTTTTGGGGTTTGAGTCTAATTTGCCTTTTCAAAATTTATTTTAGGCGCTGGGGCTAGGGGTGTAGCTCAGTGGTAGAGCACTTGCCTACCATGGGCAAGGCCCTGGGTTGATCCCCAGCAATGCAAACAAACAAACAAACAAACAAACTTAAAGTTAAAAATACATTTTAGACTGGGGCTGTGGCTCAAGTGGTAGAGCACCTGCCTAGCAAGAACAAGGTCCTGAGTTCAAACCCCAGTAATGCGAAAAATGTTTGTTAATATGTATGTGAATGTACATACATGTATCCAAGCCGAGAATGCATGGTTTACAGCCTTGAATTCTTGATCCCTCTGCTTTGGCCTCCCGAGTAGCTGGAAGTACAGGCATTTACCACCATGCCTGGTTTCTTTCCCCAGTTTTACACAGTTGTTTCCTATCATAACTTGGACCTTTTCTGGCTCCCTGAAGAGTGCTGTGGGGTGCGAGGGGCACTTTGAGGGAACCACTGCTCTCTGCAAATCCTTCACTGCCTGCTGCAGGACTTTCAGGACACAAACAAGCAAAACCAGCTAGAGGCTCAGCTTATCACTGGTCTGACCACATCTGTGACATCACTTTCTGTCCTTGAGACCAGGAATTGGGCACTTCCCTTTCCTGTCATTGATTTACTTAAGATAAGTAATGGCTGCAAAGTGGGGGACAGCCTGGGCTGCACAAAATC